AAAATCCCAATAAACGTTTAATTTTCCAATATTATTTAATAGAATAAGACTAAACGAATCAATGCTAACTTGTTCTAAAAGCACATGCACAAGTACAGGATCTCCAGTCCTTTAAGGAGAAGATGATGGAATAAATTCTCTTTCACATGAAACGGAATTAGAAAAATAAGGAAATCAGGGCTGACTGATTAATTCACCCCTTTTCAGATGTTGACTAAAAAATGAAAATATGGAAAACTCTATATTTGTAGGGAAAAATTTGCAGGACTGCTACAATAATCATCAGGGTATGTTGTGTTCGCTTACCAGACAAAGATTGGACCTTTAAGCTGTCAAACAGCTGTAACATTGCCTTTAAGCTGAATTTATTTGATATTTGGTTAACAAACACACAAGAATTGATCTTGTCCTGCTCCCTTTTCAATTGTTGTATATCAAAACTGGTCAGCCAATGACGTCGCAGTATTAGGGTTGTGGGTGGGACATATAGTTTTGAGAAAAGCAATAGATGCCCAGAACTCAGCAGAACGGTGGGCTGCAGTCGTAGCTGCGACTATCACTTTTGTTTTGTTAGGATCCACAATTTAATCCATGAAAGAGGAACAGTGAGAGCATAAAAAAAAGCACAAGTTGTTGAGGTTTCTCATGGTTTCTTCAACTGTTTAACTTTTCTCTGTGATTGAATAGAACCAGAGCCTGGAGATAGGACCAAACGAGTTATGATTCTAGGGCATCCAATAGTTTAGCCAATTCTCAATACCTGTAGATTTGGGACAGATTCAATACTTAAAGCTACAGTGTGTAATAATTACAGGGATATACAGTCAGAAATGTAATATATTATACATAACTATGTTATTTATCATCATCTACTAGCTCAGCCTCTTAACCTTAATATTTGCGTTGCCTTAGAATTCGTTATTTATAATTACATAGGAGCGGGTCTCGCAGCCATGGAGGCAGACATCTTTGCGCTACGGCAGCGCAGAGCCAACAAACTAGCGATTGCGAGATCGACCATTACGCTCGAAAGTAACTACGGCAAGTTGAGAGAGATGAACTGAGACGGTACTGAACAATAGATGGCAGTATTAAAATTATCTATGTAAACAAACCTCATCACTTGAGAAGGTAGGTGATGCGGACGTCATGGAAGACATTTTGTCCTGTAACGCTCGCCGTACTGTTGGGGGGGAGAAGCGGTGGGGGGGAGATGTTCATGTTGCTGCGGTCTGCAGACTGGACGCTAGATGTCGCTGAAAATTACACACTGTAGCTTTAAGGTAATTATTTCACAAAATACACAACTATTAAGAAAAAGCTTGAGAGGTTGTACTTCATATTATAGTCCTGTTGTTAGTTAGCAATGTCCTGATCCAGTTTTATTCAATCTGATACGACACCTGGGCCAAGCGTATGGGCCGATATCCGCTGTTTTTCAACTGTTGAATGGATAAACCATATATTTTGCCATGTGAGTTAAGCTCTAGCTTTGACATAAAAATTGCAAAAAAAAGAAGATAACGACATAACACAGATATGAATGTACTTAGTATTATTTATAAAGAAATAAGCAGCAAAAAGAAATTCAATCTGAAAAACTCACACAGAGAGAAAAGATAATTAGAAGAATTTATTGATAAGAAAGTATAGTCTTTGGCGCTCAGACCTCGGCAGGAACATTCATGCTGAATTATGCTTTAACATGCATGAGTAGATGAATGTGAATAGGGATGTTCCCCCCGGGCCTGAAACTGGTGGTGGTTTAATCCGAGCTGGTTGACAAGGTGATCTGCTGGGCAGAATTGTGGGACTAGAAGACTGAGGGAGCTGACGCCAGGCTTCACTCAGACTCGGGATATAGAGGTCCTGCTCGGTGATGCAGGTACCGTGAAGTGTCCATGATGAGCAAGCATGAAGCGACAGTGGAGAGGAAAAACTCCCCTTTGGGAAGAAACCTCTGGCAGAACCGGGCTCAACATGGTGGTCTTCTGCCGGACCAATGCATTGAGACGAGGGATGGTGACAACTGGGATTAATACTCTCTGATGAGGTTGAGGTGAAGTCGTGTCATGGAGGACGATTCAGCTGCGATGGCGGAGAAGGGGATGGAGGTGGGTGAATTGTCGTCTGAATCAAAATCCGACATTGCGATTGCAGGATAGCGGCTGTGGTGAGATTTGAGGGAGTTATAAAGTGGAAGCAGGACGCTGATTGGGCTTCGTGGTGGAGTAGTTCGAAGCTGATTGGCTCGCTTCAGAGACGGATCGGCTTCTGATTGATGGAGGTAAGTCAGAGTTTCTTCAATTGAACTTTCGCTAGAGCTTCATGAAATAACAGTTCCATAAGGAGGGATTGCCTTTGCGTCAATGAATCGATGCAATCAGCTGGTTTTCCTTAGATAGAAAACTTTGATTCAATCTGACTGTATAATCTGGTTGAATTGTAAAATGCCTTGAGATGACGTGTTGTGAATTGGTGCTATAATAATAAAATGAATTTAATTTAATTGAAGTGTACTGGAATGGATCGCCAATATAAAATCACTGATATCTGAACCAGGTATCAGATCTATTGTTAGCAATGTGAAATTTTTTTTTTGAATCTAATGCCTGTTTCAGTCGTATTCAGTTGACTCATATGTGACATTTATAGATGTGAACATTTTGTTTAAAAGATCAAAGATGAGTAAAGCAACCTAAATATAATTTCTTACTAACATAACAGGTTTTAAGTGGATGTAGATCTTACAGATACTTACCTCTTATATTCATATTGCATATAACAAATAAACTGTTTTATTGGTTACATGCAAGGATATTCTTTATTTATTTCTACTTAAGGTAGAAGCAGAGAACGTCATGTGATATTTAAGATCTGTTGCCTATTTTCCCGTAGTTTACTAATGTCTATAGAAATGTAAGATCTGTGCTCCACATTTCTCTTTGCAGAATTGCCCATTGTCACCAATGAAGTTTTCAGAACTCTCTTATCTCTATGGCTTTGGCTGGAACCAAACTTTGGTGGGCGGCCACTGAGTGTGGCTTTGGCCGTTTAGCCTTCCAGCCAATGTCTCCGTGCTGCTAGATAGAGGTCGGCCATACTGGGAATTTTTTTATCAATTTGATACCTTTTAAATACATAATCAGTATCGCTGATATTGATACAGAGTTTTTTATATTTAAGCTGGAGGTATCATGCTTTTGTGATTTTTACTTTATTATTGCAATAGAAACAATGGAACATTGACAACAATGATTATTAGTATCTGATATCCTGGACTTATTTCATGATATGCTGTTTCTTCAATGCTGTTTTCTTCTTTAGGTTTGCTGCTAAATTTAGGCAATATTTATTTCCTTTTTTAATGAAACAAATCTTTTTAATTTGCATCCCCTAATCCAAGTCTTACTGAGGTGCTTCAGAGCTGTTTTAGAGGCAGTTTATGGTTTTATTCAGTCACAATTGTTTCAGCTTCTGCCTTCTAGGAAGTCCAGTCAGGAAAAGCATAAAACAGCATTTATTACGGATAGCTTCTAACTAGTGTGATTTAGAACAAGTTGTTCTATCACCTGTCTATACTTCAGCTTTTGTGAGAATGTGAAGGTGGCATGTGAGTCGCGGTTAAATCTGGGGCAGGATGAGATCAGAGGTGGACGACGTGTGCGAGCATCTTTTTATCCTGCAGAAAGCCTTTGTAGGAAGAGAGACACGGGGGTGGTTCATGCAAATGTTGCCTTGTTTGGGGTAAATATGTGACTCTGTGGAGCTGATCTAGTTTGATTTGAGGAGGCGCAGATGTACTGTCAGCTCCAACCCTGATGTCTCCAGAAGAGTTTTTGCAAAGCTCACTTTCTGCTCTGTAATCTTCTGTCTTTGTGCTCCTTCTGCCTCACTTGCCCTCTCTCAGACGTCTCCAGAGGATTTGTAAGGAAAAATAAATATTTTTAGACATTTCAGTCCAAAGCTGCTGTCACTTCTTCTATTTTTTTTTTTATTTTCATAAAACTCTGCTATGGGAAAAAATATATTCACCTCCCCCTTTCTCATTATTGATGCAGTCAGCTAGCCTTTGGCTTTGTACCGGCACCCATCACAAAAAAAAGCTGCCCCTTGGGAGAGGGCCACCATAGCAACTACCTTCACCACAGCAACCCCTTAAAGTGCCCATCCAAAGCTAGTCCTGTGATATTTCCCAACCGTAGAACCCGAGGGTTTGTGTCTGGACAGAGAGAGGAGGGAAGGAAGGTGATAAAAACGAGGGGAAGCGCAGATGTTTAACAGCTGATCAGCTCAACAGGCCTCTTCAGAAGACCCTCACCGCACCCCTTCATTCAGGCTGTGTTTTTGGATTGAGATGCCCAGAAATGTTCCTTACAGATGAAGCACTGGACAGACACTATCATGCAACAGCAGCAGACGCAAAAATAGATCCATCGCAGGAAGCAAAAACCGTTTCAACCCTTTAGTATTAAAAGGGATCCACAAAAAGAACTTATGTGTTCGCTCTGAACATGTCCAAATTAAAGTCCTCTCCTCGGGACCATATGGCCTCCCTACTTTCATTCTACACTGCTGCAGTGTCAAAGAGCAGATCTCATATCCCAGATCACAAGGGACCCGGTCCTAATCCATGTAGCCTTCGTGCATCTCCACAGCTACAGCGCGCTTATTGTGAGCATGTCGGCTCATTGTTGTCTCACACAGCAAAGGAGCTATTAATAGCCTCACGCTGCGCTGTAGTTTAAATTCATCCAGCACCGCGCTGAGATGTGAACTAGAGCTGCACCACACTCTCGAGGCTGGATTTGGCAATGGCAAGGGAACAGCCAAGCTTTACTTTAGTTGTTTAATGTTTCAGGAATCCAGTGAAATATCTGATCATAAGCATAATAGAAGCATTTATCTTTGGTTCTTGATGTAAACCTTATCTGGTGATGTAACCAAATGCTAATGCTGTGTTTGTTCTATTTATATAAATAATGTTAATCTCCCCACAGCTATCCATGAGTTTCCTGAGGACATCTTTACGAAGGAGCAGAGGAAGAATGGGGCTGTGCTTCTCCATGCTCTCTGCGTGAGTGTTTGTTATTAACAAATTAACTTGCTTTTTGCTCATCATGTGTTTAGTAGCTCAGTAGTCCAAACACTCAGACTTTGTTCATGTTTTGTCAAATTTAACCATAAAATCTTAATATATTTTATTTGAATTTCATATGAATATCACATAAAAGTAGGATGACATCATAAAGGGGATGATGATGGGCTTTATTTTCTTTTATTTTTTGTTACAAATAACTAAATAAGATGTTTGCAATTTTTGAGATCAGCCTTTAGGTGTCATCATAGCTGTGAGTATTTCTGGTGTTAGAGATTTAATATCACAGGATTTCAGTTAGATTCAGTTCTAGACTTTGACTAGACCATTTTAACAGAGAGTAATCTCTGATCTTAACCATTTGTTGTCACTCTGGCTGTGTGTTTAATGTACGGTGGATTTTTTTCTGTTTATGAACATTTTTGGAAAATCAGGATTTTTCTTCACTATTTCACTCCTTCAGCTTTCATCGCTGAGGGACATCAGTTCATCACTTTTTGCTCTTAGATGTCATAACTGATGAACTGGCTTATTGTGTGATACTGCTAGCTGCAAACATTTAATGTGTTACATTTTCATTGTTGTGTGCCTTTTTCACAGCTTAAGTTTTGTTGCACTTTAAGTTAAGCTATATATGCTGTAGGGCTGAACAAATTTATCGTATTAATCGTGATTAATGGATTATTGAAATAATCTTAAACTAATTTAGTAATTGATTAATCGTTAACTGGAGTGTAGAGACTCTAAAACAGGCCTTTAGCTGACAGAGCGGCCCACTTAGAGCAGTAAATATATAAAAATTGTTAAAAAAAAAAAAATAGAAACATTTTGCATTGAAAAAATCTTCTTTAAATAAACTTCGGCTATAAAAATAACAGACAGATTAATTGATTGTTGTTGCAGCTGGTTGCAGACCTAATATGGTGTTTTTATTTTATTTTATTTTTTTTTATTATTCAACTTAAGTGAGGGAGAAACTCACTTGATTCAATTTTGTAGGAGAAAATCTGAGATTAGATTTTTAGGTCATATAGCTCAGCCCTAGTTTTGGGTTATTGCTCTCCTGGAAGGTGAACCTCCTCCCCACTACGTGGACCGTCTGAAGTTTAGCTCCATCCATGCAGTCAACTATAAGGAGCTCCACTTTTCCTACTGAAGAAAACATTCCCACAGCATGATGCTGCCACTGGTGTACTTTTTGCAAATAAGGCACAAAGCTTATTTTTGCTCTAATGTAACTTCTTCATATTTTCCTATTAAGTGTTTTATTGCAAACTGCTGTAAGGACTTCTAATGGTGCATTCACACCGAATGCATTTTGGTTAGTTTTTCTAGAGGCGCTTAACGCACTTCAAGCCAAACGGGCAAAAAGTTTCCAAACGTACACTGCAAGACACCATGAAGCCCCTTAAAACGCATTCTACATGGCCTTAGCATCTGAACCAGATGCCCTTCTGGCTCCAGGTTTTGAGTTGCTTTATTGAAGGATTCCTTTAGCAGAGCTCTGGATATCTGAATCTCAGGCTTTTTAGCTGCCTCTCTGATTAATGATCTGTTAGTTTGGCCTCTTAAAGAGGTACGCTATTCATTCTAGGGTGAAAAAGCCTTTTGTTAAAAATCGAACAACGGGATTTTGCATCATAAGGAACCAGGTTTTGAATTTCTCAACAGTGATTAATGTATTCTAAGTGGAAAATTTATGTATTTTTTTGTAAAGTTTTGTCCGCCAAGTTGTTTCTCCAAGTCGGTAATTTTGAAAGTGGGTATTTCTTTTAACAAATGGACAATTTACAGTCTGTGTGCGATTCCTTAAGGTATCGATTCGGTTCCATGATTATTTCACTAACCGATTCATCAATTGACTATTAGCCTCAGAGGTTTTTCCAAAAAAACCTCTGAGGCTTTCAAAGAGTAACTGGATTTTTACTGAGATGAAATGACACAACAAATATTAGTTTGATGACTTCCGAAAGCTCTCCATTATTTTTATTAGAATTAGAATGAAGATTGAAACGTTTTGTAAAAGAAAATTATTAATTTCCCTTAACTTTCTAGTCAACAACTTTTTTTTGGTCTGAAACCTCATTAAAAAACCTTGAAGTCTGTGGTTCTAATAAAATATTTAAATGTACAAAGGGTATGAATACTTAGCTGCATTTAAAGTTGAGTCATTGTGCGCTTTGTTTTATTTCTTTATTTTATCCTTTCCAGGCAATCTACATGTTCTACGCTTTGGCCATCGTCTGTGATGACTACTTCGTCCCTTCTCTGGAGAAAATATCTGAGGTCAGGAAACCCATCCTTCTTCCACATTTAATTTTCTGATTTTTTTTTTATAGGTTTATTTGACTTTTTTTGTTTTATTCAAGACTCCATTTTTTATTTCATCTTCTAGAACCTGCATCTCAGTGAGGATGTGGCTGGGGCAACATTTATGGCTGCCGGAAGCTCCGCCCCCGAGCTTTTCACCTCTCTGATTGGTTGGTAGCTTTATGAATCTAGAACGGGAACCAGCATTGCTGATTCTGTGGCCTTATAATGTTTTTAAGTAATTCATAGTTTTTAAAAAGAAAAAGGTTCTATCAATACCAAAATGTTTGCTAGAGATGAAATGGTGTGGGATATTTGAGCAGAGTAAAAGTATAAAAACTGATTCAGACAGAATATCCTGAATTACTCGTTATTTAAAAATGCAGCTGCAGCAGACTATAACTGCTATATATAAATTAAGTCTATGTCTAAGTATTTATAACAAAACATACTTTAGAAAGTTCTGCAGTCAAACTACAGCTTTTCATCTTTAGGTGTTTTCATCACCAAAGGCGACCTTGGAGTCGGCACAATCGTGGGTTCAGCTGTTTTCAACATCCTGGTCATCATCGGGTTGAGTGGGATCTTTGCAGGCCAGGTGCTACATTTAGTTCATACCTTTGTTTTATTTTCTATTTATTTATTTTTGTTGGGTCTTGTCAGTTCAAAATCTTACAGCAGCACCAGATTTATTTGTTTCTCATTCAGCCATTTTATAAAAAGTTAAAATGTTTTATCTCACTGACAACACGGGCCATATGAGGCAACAAGTATATTAGCCAACTATAAAATCCCACATTGTGGGATACCACGAAATCCCGCTTCCTCTGTCCCCATTGAAGCATGGAACGCCCATATGCACACATGAATCCAAGACAGGGGCTCTAACAGTCTTACCTGAGCTACAGAGGAAAAAAAATATAATCGCAATTTAACAAAACACAATTTTCAATTCGGAGGGGCACAACATTTTAGTCACATCACATAAAGAAAAAATAAGACCCTAAATTTCTCACTCCGGCTCTTTAGTTGGCAGTGAAATGCTTGGGTTTAACGCCACACAGAAAGGTGGAGAGATTTGCAACTAGCATGCATGTCTGTGCATGCACGTAGAAGTAACCACCCTTTCACCCAAAGGTAACAGTAAAGTCCTGCAGCAATCGACGCAGGACAAGCAAGTTTTCAAAGTCATGAAAAACCTGAAACCCTGGAGTGAAACTTTGGGAAACAGGGTTAGTGCAAAGTAAAATTGAAATAAAGTTGCAATATTGGTTTAAAATAATCACAATATTAGTTTTTTTGGGATAATAGTTCAGCCCTAGTTTGCATTTCTTTCAAAAAAAAAAAAAAGATCCCACAGTCTGGAGTTAGGGTTGAGAGCAATTGAATCAGTGGTGCTTTAAGTTGAATTGAAAGTCTCTACCTTTAGGATGGTTTGGAGTGCCATGCAATGAGCTGGTGTAGGTCTACCATGTTTTCTCCACAGTCACTGCAAACATCTACTGAAGTAAGTCCAAACCCAAAAATGCAGATGACTTGAAGGCCGCTCTTAAGGCAAACCTGGGCGGATTCTTCCACATCATTAAAACTTCAGATTGATTGCCTCGACGCTACGCTTTACTGATGCAGTAGCTCATGCTGAAGGATCCCCATCCAAGTATTAAGGACATAAAAAGGAACCTCCTTTCAGAAGCCTGACATTCCAGATAGAGGACTCTCTTTTACTGATCTTATGAAATTATCTTATTTTCTAAGACAATTATTTATGTTATATGCATGATATTTAAAATAATAAATATAGATATTATTAAAACATCAAAAGATTAACATAAATAGAGGCTTTAGATATTTCAAACCATGGGTAATGAGTCTGTACAGTGTGGGTTACACTTTCTAATTGAGGGATAACATATTTGAAGATATTCTAATTTTTTAATATCCACATTTTTCCCCATTAAGATTCCATAATATGTTATAATCAGATTGGTATCTGATCTAAAAATAAGTGTATGTTTTGGAACTTTGCCTTTAATTTGAGCAAATAAATAAGATGATCTGCCAGTGAAATCAGTATTTCTGTCCTTGGACTAAGAAAACAAGATAAAATGTACTTAAAATAAGATTAAACATTTTTTTCATATTGTAAACATAAATTACCTTCTTCCATTGAAAAATAGCCCCACATATCTGCTGAAATCATAAAATACTCTTATTTTAAAAAAATGATTGAGATGACAGCTTTTGCAGTGTGGACTGCAGTTATTTTTGGTGAATATTTTCCTACTATTTTTATTTCTTGATTCCATTTTACATGCTGATGTTAGATTTTGCCAAATGCTTTCACTGACACAACACAAATGATGTCGCCTCAAAATGCTAAAGGTCACAGAAACCAGAAGACGACGAAAGAAGAATGTGCATATAAAGATATATATTTAATGCAATATTTTCTATTATACATTCTTAATTTCTGTCAAAGAAAAGCAGTGCATAATGATGCTCCTCTTCTGTTTCTTCTTCTGCATCTCAGCTCTTCCATCCTTTTTAAACTGACTGGCTCTGAATTTTTCCTCCACAGGAAGTGGTTCTGACTTGGTGGCCACTTTTTAGAGATTCCTGTTACTACATCTTGTCTGTCCTGGCGCTTATAATGGTGAGCCCTACATTTTAGGTGCAGATTCTTTCTTTCTGTGCTTTAATCTCATCTGCTGCTCTCTGCTCTGCTCCTTCTATAGGTTATCTACGATGAGAGAGTTGTCTGGTGAGTCAGATATTTTTACTTATGAACTCTTTCATGCATCCGGTATATTAAACCCACCCAAGATTTGTTTCATGATTTCAAATCTTATATTTTAAATAAGTCAAATATTTGTGGGAGAGAAAACATTAACCTTACTATAAACTTAACAAACAATAAAAGCAGAAAACTATGATACAAGAAGACTGTAGTTCTAATGGCAAAATAAGTTTTTAGTTTGGGAACATTTACTGCAATTTAAGTTGTTTAATAATACAGACAGAACTGCTCAGTCTTTTCGGAAAGCTATAGCCAGGAATATCCTGGCTATAGCTTGAAAATTTCTTTTCAAGCTCAAAAAGAAGATACTAAACTTTATCAGGACCAATTCTTGTCATATTTAGTTTTATTTGGAAAAGAATATGTTGGTTTTTTTGTGTGTTTTTCTTCAAGGTTTAGTTTGTGACTGGGCAGCAAGACTTTAAGTAACTCTTAGTTAGTTTAGAAATGACTTCATGTCATCACATTATTCATCTAGTCACCTTTCAAAGGATGTAGACTAGAAGTGGGAAAAAGAAAAGGAAGAGGCCATTACATATTAGCAACAGTTAGTTGATTTTGAATCTCACTGGTGTCTGTATTATAACCAATCCCATCTGTGTAGCTGAAGTCTCTCCCTAATCCAGGTTACAGTCTGGTTCGATGCTTTAGTATCTCACCCCTTCCTCTCTCACACAGGGTCCTTTAAACCGACCATAGGGATGACTCCACAGGCCCAGCTTCAGCTCGTCTCTAACAGCCCGGGTCTCTGTAGGCGTTATATTCTGAAGCACAAGCTAATGAAATAAATGGGAGAAATAGCCCCAAGTCTATAAAGATTTAACTTCATACCAAAGAAGTGAATCCACTTTCCTTCTTCGTGCCATGAGCATAAAAATCCCGTTAAAGCTCTGGGTAAATGCATAGAAAAAAAATCAATGCATGGATGAGCCAATATTTTCTTGTTTTCTTTAGAAATCAGCAGGCAGCTTCAGGCTCTAAATCTGGGTGTGGTAATGGACTCAGACATAAAGAGATTCATAATGACAGTGAAAAATCTGCTTTCTTTTTTTTTTTTCTTTTTTTTTTACATTGTCCTGTCTGGCAATGTGGCAATAAGAATAATTGTCTTGATGCCAAAAAGTGCCCAAGAGATTTTACTTTCATGCATACAAATTGCTTTATTATAATTTTGCAGGGAGTTTTACAGTTTATATGGACACTGCAATGTAAATAGAGCAGAAAAACAGAAAAAGAAAAAGGAAAAAAGAAAAAAAAAGAGAAAAAATAAAAGAAAGAAGAGATAGAAAGGAGATAATGACAAAACATTTTCAGTCTGCTTCATCACCTGCACCGAGATGAAAAAAGAACAGCACAACCGAAAGACATGGTACGAGACATACAATAAAGCAACACCTTGAAACTATCGCTAAAGTAATATTAAATCTGCTTTCTATGGCCTAAAGAAAACCACCAGGATTAAAGGACTAATATTTCTGCAGGATCTGGAAAAATGAATGAATGCTTTTATATTTGGTAGAATCGATTACAGGAACGGCTATTTAACCATTAGATGTAGGAAGTAACTAGTTGCATTTACTTTAGTAACCTTTTGAGAAAAAAAAAAACTTACTTTAAGGAGTAGTTTTTCAGTAGTTTTAAAAAGTAAAAAAGTATAATTTTGCAGTATTCTTTTTACTTTCACTAGGGTAAATAAATGAGGAATCACTACTCTTACTGGGGTAAAATGTGTGGCTATTCCACCCATTACAAGTAACTACACTTAATGAGGAACACACTTGTTTTAACCAAAAAAAATGCACCAGAGATAAAAACAGATACAGTTAATGTCTGAATGAGACTTATGTTATTTTACTATTTTGAGGTGATCTCTGAGTGAGAGCATAGAACTACAAAGCATAGATTGTGCTCTATAGAGAATCCATATTGAGAAGCTGGCTCAGGTATGGAGTGGTAATGAATAACAGTGACGCTGTTCTCTGTGCAGGTGGGAGTCGCTGATCCTCATGACCATGTATGGCATCTACATTGTGATCATGAAGTGAGTTCACAATGACTTTTGATATACTCTAATAATCCCAGAGGGAAATTACTGACATCAGTTGCCGTCTTCATGCATGGAGCTGAAAGTTTAAACCTCTTTTATTGTCTGTTGGGTCGCAGGTTCAACTCCCAGATTTCAGTGTTTGTGATGTGCCGGTTGAGGAACAGCAGACCGTGCTGCCGCTCCTCGGAGGGGAACCCAGAGAACAAGGCGGGAGACGAGGCCTCAGCTTGCAACACCTCCATGGTTCTTCTCAATAAAGGTCAGGAAACATCTCTGCTCAGCAGGCGTTTCTGACTGCTTCTGTCTGTTCTTGACGAGTTAAAATTCCCGCAGGTCAAGGTCAGGAGTCTCAGCCCGTCCTCATGGTGGACGAGCTGCTCATACTCAACCCCCACAAGCTGTCCTTCTCAGAGGCCGGTTTGCGTATCATGATCACCCCCCACTTCTCCCCCCGCACCAGGCTCTCCATGGCAGGACGGATGCTTATCAGCGAGGTACTCATTTCAACTTTTAGGTTTAGATTTTTTTTTTTTTTTGTGACTCATTGACACTAGAAGTTTATTCTGTCTGCCACCAGAGACAGAGACTGATCAGGAGTTCCAAATACCAGCGAGACGGTGAGGCCGCCGCCGGGTCGAGGAAGGGGTCGCCCAGCAACAACCTGAAGAGGACGGGCTCCTGCAGTCTTGAAAATGGAGGTGGGACGCCGGGGATAGGAGACACAGAGGCAGGAGAGAAGCTAGGAGGTGAGGAGTGCAGGCCAGAGGAGGAAGACGACGACGAAGACAACATTTTTAATCCTGTGCGCATGCCAGGTGAGGATCACAGGTGGCTGATTCTCTACAAGTTTTCCTTTTCCCTCATTAAAGGTATATTGGAGGACCCAGTACCCGCTTCCGAGAGGGAACGCCTATTAAACAGGTGCGAGAGCATGCATGGGCCCATATTCTCCTCGTGCACGCTCTGTTTAAAAGTTTCTGTTTGTATCGCTCATCAATTTTTCCACTATGTCGGACTCACCACCAGTAATTGGAAAAAGGGACAAGCACGTTGGACGACCTTACGTAAACATATCACCAAATATTACTGAAAATTAGGAGGACCTATTATATATATGAAAAGAACATCCTCCACTATACCTCTAATGCCGGTGATGTTCGTGCTTTACTGACAGATTCATGCAGTCAGTTTTTTGGACCAGATTTGTTTTACATAAAAGCCACAAACTACAAATTGTGTTTTGGATTTTGTCTGACAGATGTGCTCTATCCAGAACTCCATATTTGGAATAGTTTGATCTTCACCCGGTTTAAACTCTGTATAAAATCTTCTTTTGCTTTCCAATTATTAATCAATTGATATAAAAACAAATCGACAGATTAATCGATTAGCATAATAATCATTAGATGCAGCCCTAGTGCACAATTGAACAACAATGTTTCTCAATAGATCTGTGACCTTATGGTTTATTTTCAGTTTTAGTAAACCTAAATTGGTTCATTAAGTTTTAATCAAGTTAAATCAAACCTATTAATGCAGTTTGCTTTTCTAATTACATGAAACAGTAATGTTAAATTAAAGATGTGTTTAGATGGATCCAACAGATAAAAGTTGTTTATGGCTTTAGTCATAGTATCTGCACATTTTTGTACCTTTTTTTAAGAGATTGAACAATAGTGTTTAAGGAACTAATGATTCTTAGATAGATCCAACAGTTGTTAGATTTATTTTATATATGCAGTGACCTTTTTTGGCAGAATTTAATAACAAATGGGTGGAGATAGGAGGGGAGAAGGTTGAAGGGCTAAAGCTTCTTTAATGTGTTTAGTGCCTTTAAAAAAAGAAGTTTTTATTATTTTGAAATGTTTCAACTGAATTGAAATCGTATTTAAAGTTGGTATTTTATAAAAAATCTGACTGCCCATGTATATTTTTATTTTTGTACTTAATTTTGTTTTATATATACCAAAATTAATATAATAAAATGCACTGGATGGATTAAAATTAAAATTACTGTTTGTACTGCAAACTGTGTATTAATAGGTTTGATTTAACTTGATACAAACATAATGAATCAATTTAAGTTTAAATACAAGTTTATATATAATTTTATTTTCATTTTGTTTCCTATATAACAAAATTGGAATAATAAAATATATATAGAGATAGGGAGACAGATTTTATTCACCAAGTTTTTATTTTAAATGTATTTTCTTGTCTCTCTCGAAAAAGATATTTTAAATCTCAGTGGGATCTACCGTTATAAATAAAGGTTACATAGAGCCACTGTATTGCATATGAGGCACCTGATCTACCGCTGCACTGGATTCCCTCCATGTTTTAACTGAAGCCTCTGATTTAAAAAAGCTCCAGGTTAGTAAGATTGGATGAAATCTGTATCTGATTTTTAATCTTCAAGTTTTTCCACAGATTTCTCCCTAATATTAAGGTGTGGACTTTGCCTGGTCCAGGCTAATACCTGGTAATGGTTTGATCTGGGTCCTTCCTCTGTAGCTCTGGTTGCCTGTTTACGATCATTGTTCTCGGTCTGAGATATTTTCCTGGTTATCTCCATCCACCTTCACATCAATTCTTAGTCGCTTCCTCATCTCTGCTGAAATAAGCATCCCAGCAGCATGATGCTGCCATCACCATGCTTCCCCTCATGGATAAAGTTTCCTCTTAAATATTTTTGCTGCCATCTGACTTTGCCAAACAGATGTTTTGGGCAGAAGGATCCAAACATTTCTTTTCAGGCCCAAAAATAAAAATGAAGCAGACAACAGACTTCTAAAAACGTTTAGAATTATTGTTATTTATAAATATAAAGGGAAAAAAATATTTTTATTTTTACTCGTAGTCGTCGTCTTTAGCTAGGGGCAGCAGTCTCAGCAGAGACTCCAACACTTCCCTCTCCAACACGACATCCAAGCTACCTCAACTATTTATTTTAAAATAAATTGAATGTATAAAATTCAATTAATAGTGTAATCCATTATTTTAAAAGTGTTGTTCATTAATTAAGGGTAAATGTAAATTTTTTAGTTGTGCATTTTTACAATTTATTGGTTCATTTATTTGATTCATGTTTTGGATAAAAAATAATTGTTGAATTATTTTATGTAGGGCAATCGTGATCATTACATTATTAAAGAAATAGTTTTAAAAACTATTGAAAATAACTGTTTAAAATAAATAAACTAGTTATTGAGTTGAATCCTAGAATATAAAACATCTAAAACAGACCATTTCCTGAAAGAATAACCTACTTATAGGAGTAAAAAAGGACAAGAATCTAGTAAAAATATTAAAAATGTTCCGCTTCAAATCTTTTTATCATATATAGCATTACATGTATATGTACACATAATATATATTGTTACATGTTTTTGTACAATAAAGGTTATTTTTCATTTCCAAATGTTCATCTATTTAGAAATGTTAACTGGCTCCAGTTATTTCTGTTTAGATTAATTAATTAGTGGAAAAAAAATATCGAAAGACTAATTTATAGCTAACAGAATCAATAGCTGCAGCTCTAATTTCATGGTACATTCATATATTTTTATTGGACAGTCACATTTATCTGTTTCATGATACATTTTGGCTTCTGAATACCAAAGGGATCACATCCTCCTCCCGCCTCTCCAATACTTGTGTTTGGCAGAGTTAGTTGGTCGCTCAGAATTTTATTTTGTGGCATCAAAACTAAAGGGGTCTGAATGCAAATGTGTGCCACAAGTTTCACATTATAATTAATAAAGGATATTAAAGTAGAATTGCTTTATGTTGTTCAGTCAGAATAAAATAAGAAACAAGTGTGTGGTTGTAATGTTATAAAATACGGAGCTTTAGTTCTGCAGGCGCCGTGCTCACACTAAGACCTCTAACTGTCATCATCAGCTGCTGGAAGCTGGAGTTTCCAGGTAGATAGCATCTTTGATATTTTTTTTCTGTTTCCTGTCACAGGCAGTTGCTGTGCGCGGGTGAAGTGGTTCATCACCTGGCCTCTGGGCCTCCTGCTCTACTGTACTGTGCCTAACTGTTTGCTGCCACGCTGGCACCGCTGGTTCATGGTCACCTTCGTGGCCTCCACCCTGTGGATCGCTGTCTTCTCCTACCTCATGGTGTGGATGGTAAGAAGACAGAAGCTCCTGAACTGCAGATAGAAATGAGAAATTAGATTAGGTTTCCTTTAATAAACTCAGTGTCCTGTCTCCATCCTCCTTAAAGCCAATCACATTTGTTCATTTCTTGATTTAATCAGCCGAGTTCTGTCGTAGTTTTGTGTGAACAATGAAAATTAAATCATTCAATTGGTTCATTAGATCTAGTGAATGTTAAAATTAAAAACAGTGTGTCCTTTAGACGAGGATCCAATTAACAAATGAGCAGCATGAATTCACAGAGAATTAAATAATCATAGGGAGACAGTTCATCAGACTTATAGTCAGGTATCTTTATGAGCCGTTTCACCTCACAATCCATCACATACATCCATGACATCATATGTCCTCGCATTTGCAGCATTGACTTCTTTAACATGTATTTATAAGTCATTAATATCTGTGAGAGAACATTGATGTGTGATAGGGGTGGAACGGTTCACAAAATCCATGGTTCGGTTCGGTTCGATATATGTTGATTGTTAGCCTGACATGTTGGTCGTGTTGCTGTTAGCATAAACAAAATGTGTTGCACAATGCTTGCACACTGTTGCACTTTTATCCATAACTTTCTTTCCGCCGCCATCGTAGGTCACTCTAAATGCAAAGTGGTCCCATACAGCAGACCTATAAAGTGCTGCTGGCACGTCTTCCAACTCCTGTTCTTTCCCACTCGCCATTCAGACACAATTCTCCACAACAACTGATTTTTTTCTGCTACACCCGGTGATGCGGCTTCACTTCTTCTTCTTGTTAACCACTGGTGGTTGGCTTTGGCCGCAGTACCGCCACCTTCTGCTCTGGAGTGTAAACGCTTCGTTTATGAGAAAAAGGAGCAGTGCATGAAACGAACGCAACACACGCAAATCGAACCGAGAACCGAACGGTTCGGACGGTTTTCATAAACCGTTCCATCCCTAATGTGTGATAACAGCACTACAAAAAACAACCGCTTGTTTGCGGTGTAATGAAAGACAGACATAAAATGAGGAGGAACCCCATGATATGAAGCTCAGGTCCAACCTGTTTGAGTAAAGTTTTTATTGCGTAATATAATACTGTACATTGATCCACCACCACTAGATATCCCCGTAATGTTATCATGGTTACTACAAGCTATGGCAGGCCTTTTATATAAGAAAGAAAAAGGAGAGGGCTTAGTTAGAAAATATATTTAAGTCTATGCTCATTAAATCCAGGTCAGAGATGGGAAATGTGGAGTCAACAAGTCATCTCCATGTCATGTTTTTAATCTACCCAGTCAATTAACCAGGTGAGTCCAATCTGCACAGGTTGATTCACGGTGAAGATTGGACTCACCTGCTTCAGTGGCTGGGTAGATCAAATACATGACATGGAGATGACTTGTTGACTCCACATTTCCCATCTCTGATCCAGGTGAAAGGTTCGTTGTTTACCCCCTGCACACATGCTCAGTACCGTACCTCTGGTCAGGTGTTACTCTAAATATACACAAAGGGATTTATCTACTAACAAATCAAGCAAATGCAAAAAGGAAAAGACAGAAATTTGAAAAAAACAAACCATCAAGACGTGGTCGTGTTTCAGGAAAAACTGGTATGCAACCAGAGTAAATTACTGATGTAGAAATTAAAAAAAAAACTTAAATAATGAGACATTATTGCCCCTTTAACTGCTGCTTTTCTTGGTTATTTTGTACATTTATGGATGTAAAATACCATTGAAATGATACTATGGAATGAAATTATGACAAATGTTTGTTGATCATCAGGTCACCATCATCAGCTATACACTAGACATCCCTGACTACATCATGGGCATAACCTTCCTGGCAGCAGGAACCAGCGTACCTGACTGCATGGCAAGCTTGATTGTAGCTCGACAAGGTAGCTAGAAGAAGAGTTACTCATGTTTTTAAAACGATTTATCCCGTCACTGCATTGGTTTAAAGGTTTGATTTTCCAGGCATGGGGGACATGGCCGTGTCCAACTCCATAGGAAGTAACATCTTTGACATCCTTCTGGGTTTGGGCTTCCCCTGGGCTTTACGTACCCTGTTGGTGGACCATGGATCTGTAGTACGCACTCTTTTACCTCCATGTTATTGTTTGTTTTTTTAACTAAAACATTCCTGTTCTGATGTGTTTTTATTTTCCCCTCAGGTGTTCATAAATAATAAAGGTCTTGTATATTCCGTCGTCCTGCTGCTGGCATCAGTGTTTCTGACTGTGAGTAAATATAAACCGTCTAAGGGTTTAAGTTTGTTTTTCTCCATCTGTGAAAAAATAAAAACATTTAGTTTTTAGCTTTTCTTAAACAGTTAATATTAAATTAAACAAAGCAGGGCATTAGAAACTTTTTTTTACACTTTCTTGTTTCAAAATTGTTTTTCAAACAGAAATAGCAGGCACCACTGAATAAAATAAAATAAAGCAAAGCCTTAAGAAGACATCTATTTAGTAAAAAGAATTAATGTTTTTTTTTTCTCTTTTTATGAATCTCAGTGTAAAATCTGATGTGTTGTGAAGGCGTCAGAGGTTCAGGAGAACATTTATCAAACATGTGGAAGAAGGCGCTCTGGTTAGAGGATGAAATTTAAACTTTTTGGCCTCAATTCAAGATGTGTCAGAAACTAAAACTACAACAATTCATATGCAACACAACCTGCTTCAGAAGAGACAGGGGAGCTGGACACTTCAGACAGGAAGATGGATGGAGCGAAAAGAAGAGAAAATAAAACGGAACAACACCAAACACACCAACAGAGCTATGATGAAAGGATTCAGGGCTTAGAATGGCCTAGTCAAAGTCTAGAACTGAGTAACCATTTTTATCTTATTTTTCATATGAAACTGAAGCAGTCTCTTAAGAAGTTTTCACTGTTGCAGCTTTAGGTCAATCTAAATCTAGATAGACCTAAATTTGGTGGTGTTTGGGTCAGTGTGAAAGCACAGTCAGCCTCTAACAAACACCAAACTAACGCGGCCTGAAGAGGAGGTCTCAGTTCGGCTGCAGCCAAACTCTGGTGTGATAATATAATTATATATGAGAGGCATAAATTACCGTGTTGGTCATCAGTTTTTGCGCCAGATGAGGATCTCACTGTGAATGTTAAGGAGCATTAATCTGCATCTTCTTCTGAATGGGGCAGATATTTCCATTCAGTGTCTGCAGAGCATCAGCTTGTTATTTTCAAGCTGCAGCCGTGCTTCATTTTCAGACACTATCGTTTCCCTTTTTCAGCAGCGCTTTTGGACTTCTATTGATTGTCAAGGAGACATGATGCATTCCAAGTACTGAGGTGTTCAGTCAAAGTGACAGAAAGCTGGTTTGAAAGCAATTAATCTAACTGAAATATTAAACAAAGTAACATTTTAACATTCAGAGCTGCGAAACGGTGCAAACTAAACAGGTGAACACACCCTTATTTTCTGTCCACAACACAAATACAAAATAATTATTGCTAAACAAATAAAATCCAAGTAAACTTTTGAAGTTTGTGTTTATAGGACATCCCAAATACCGTATTTTTTTGCAGTTACAGAAACAAATGTAAATGTATGCTGTGGTTTTAACATACTGAACTGTTAGGAAAACTCTAAAATCATGTCACAGACTCTGCATCACACTAATAACACCAAACCAAAACACTGAATATTTGCACATTATATATATTTAATGCTCTCAACTTCCATATCACTGCATTTATTGCACAATGTTTTTTTTCTCCCACACTGTTAACATTTGATCTCTGCTACACTTTAGGGAATGGAAATGTCTTGATTTCCCTTTTTACACACTCAGTGTATACAAAACGACAATAAAAGTTGCAGGCTAAGTCTAATACTTTGAGTGTGAGTGGATGTGTGTGTATTTAAGAATTCATAAGACCAAAAGTTTGCCTTAGCTGGCTTCTGAAAGCAGCCCTTTTATGATTATTATAATATTAAGAAGTTCAGTCTGACTGAAGCACATTCGGAGCTCTTCTTCTTCTTCGTTTGCAAACAACAGATGCTCACTGCCACCTTCTTTACATGTGGCCCAATATATATATAAAAATGAAACATATAAAAATCTATTAGGCCTATGTTAACAAAAGCCATTCTTGTAGTGGACAGTGTTTAGTCACCTGTCCCTAAGTTCTTCTTTCAATTTCAATTTTTTTTTTCCAAAAAAGTTAATACGTATTTTCTGGTGGCCTATTCTATTGTTTTCCATTGATATCTGTTTTTTTCTCTACGGGCTGCTGAATACTATACCTTTTTTTTTTTTGCTTAGTTGCAGTTTATTTACCTCTATTTAGGTATTAATAAAACAAAATTTATATCTAATTGTTTTGAATAAAAAAAAATAAATAAATATATATATATATATATATATATATATATATATAATATATATATATATATATATATATATATATATTTATTTATTTTTTCTTTTTAGAGTTTCTTTTTTACGGAAGAGGATTAGGGCCACTCAAAAAAAAAAAAGTTAACTGGTTTTCAAATTTTATTTCAGTTTAGTATGGGAAAAAAGTCAGAATTCTGACTTTTTTCTCAGAATTCTGACATTAATCTCAGAATTCTGACTTTTTTTCTCATAATTCTGACTTTAATCTCAGAATTCTGACTTTTTTTCTCATAATTCTGACTTTAATCTCAGAATTCTGACTTTCTTCTCAGAATTCTGAGATTAAAGTCAGAATTCTTACTTTTTTCTCAGATTTCTGACTTTAATCTCAGAATTCTGAGATTAAAGTCAGAATTCTTACTTTTTTCTCAGATTTCTGACTTTAATCTCAGAATTCTGATTTTAATCTCATAATTCTGACTTTTTTCTCAGAGTTCTGACTTTAATTTCAGTATTCTGACTTTTTCTGAGAATTCTGATTTTAATCTCAAAATTTTGACTTTAATCTAAGAATTCTAAAAATTTTTATAGTCAGAATTCAGTCAGAATTCTGAGATTAAAGTCAGAATTCTGACTGTTTTCCCATGCTAAACTGAAATAAAATTTAAAAATCAGTTAACTTTTTTTTTTTTCCAGTGGCCCTAATCCTCTTCCGTACTTTTTCATGTTAATTATCTGTTAAGTTTATTTTACTGAAAATGCATCAGAGTTTGCAGTAAATATACTTTGATGGTAAATCCTATCCTGATGAACGTCTCTGTCCCGTTTCCTCTCAGGTAATGAGCGTTCATCTAAACCATTGGAGGCTGGACCGCCGGCTGGGTCTGGGTCTGTTGTTCCTCTATGCCATCTTCCTTCTCTGCTCCATCCTTTTCGGACAGATGTAAGACCCGACTGACATGTGCGTCCCGCCCTCCCCCTGCTAGACCTGCTAGACCACACATACGCTTATCTGAAGCCAAAAAACAGCAGGAGTGAAAGTGGTGTGGTTTTCCTCGTGATTATTTATGTACACCTGTGTAGGAATCACTATGGAAACGTACAATTTCACAAATACACAGTTTGTTTTGTTCTTTTGTACAGTACAGTGTTTCATACCAGTCTTTAACTATTCCAGACATTGAAGATCAAGCAGCAATATTGTTAGACCTTTATCAGTTTTAATTTAAAGCTTTTTGTTGTAAAGAAAGGAAAAATGTATTTATCAGAAATAATTAATTTGAAATGTAATAGTTTTGTTGACACTTTTTTTTTTTTTAAACAAATTTTTATTTTTTTAGTTGGGTTTTATCAGATTCCCAGTTTTGGAATCCATAAAATCTCCATGACTGTTCTGCTAATCTATTAATTTATAATATTTGTGAAGCTAATCTAATTAATTCAAGCATCAATGTTACCACAAGCTAAAATAATATCAGGCCAATTGGTGCTAGTTTCACTGCTTCAAATTCATCACTAAAAAGCACAGAAATGCTCCAGGCTTTAGGAGGAACACGTAAGGTGGAAACTGTTTACATGTTTCATAAGCCGAAAGCGTTAGTCTGAAGGAAAGGGAGTCCCTGTACTTCAACTATTGCTGAAGTTTTCACCTTACCGGTTCATTTTCCTCTTCATGGCCATAGGAAGTTGGTGAAGTTGTGCCAGAAATGTAGGATCTCTTTAGGAGAAACATGACTTTCTTCCTTAACCTGAGACAAAAAGAAAAGGTCGCTGCTGTGCTGTGTTTGGGACTACTTTGTTTTTAATAGGGGTGCACCGATCTGAAAACCTGGGCCAAGATCCATATCTGATATTAATATTCCCTGCCTGGAACAAAAGCTACATGGAAATTAATGTTGTCTGGCAATATCAGCCTGGTTTTATTTTTCCCACCGATACCAATATACTTCAAATTACGTAAGAGGATTAGGGCCACTGAAAAAAAAAAAAAAAGTTAACTGATTTTTAAATTTTATTTCAGTTTAACATGGGAAAAAAGTCAGAATTCTGACTTTTTTTCAGAATTCTGACTTTAATGTTAGAATTCTGACTTTTTTATTGTCAGAATTCAGTCAGAATTCTGAGATTAAAGTCAGAATTCTGAGATGTTAAACTGATCCCATGTTAAACCGAAATAAAATTTAAAATTCAGTTAACTTTTTTTTTTTTCAGTGCCCCTAATCCTCTTCCGTATCAAATCTATCTACCAATCTACCAATATTTTTCATCGGTGCATCCCTTCTGTTTATACATATGTTCTGAATGTACACCTTCTTTGACTCTTAGCAATAGTTAGGAAATATCAGCGTAGTTAATGTTAAAATGCACAGTGTTGTGATATTTTTACGATTTTTGTCTCACTACTTCGTGCCAGTAAGAACTGGTACTCCTTAAGGTACGTAAAAGAGATTAATCTAGCATGATAGTATTTTTAGAACTCTTACTATGTATATATTGTATGTATGAGTATTGCAATATTTGAATTTTAGTGCAGATCGGTAGCATACTTCCTGTTTAGGTACGACAATCGATGTTTCTTAAAGTTTTTGTAAGAGTATTTCAATAAAACGACACTTTGTTTATTAAAAGACAATCCTGAGAATCTTAGCGCATACACCCATGTAGATTTACAGTACGAGTCTGTGTTTTCTGGTAAATTGTGTCATTTTACAATTATAGTCATAGTTCTTCCTACTGTTATAAAGGAAAAGATGTTCAAACAACTTAGGCAGAGATTTGTACTTTACATTGGAGCTTGAAGTATTTTGATTATTAGATCTATAAATTCTAAATATTTAAGAGGATTTTGGTCATTTTATTTTTTAATGTTTATAAATGTTAAAATAACTTGCATAGTTTTACAATAATGAATGTCCTGAAAAGAGTTTTGTGTTATTTTGACATTTTAAAGAGATGTGTTAATGTTTGTGTTATTCCAACTAAAGAGCTGCTTATTGTAAAGGATCAGTGGGGCGCCGAAAGCTTTCTGTGAGGCCGATGCTCCAAAAACATAAAACCAACATTTATTTAATACCCACTGTGCTTCCTGAAGTAGAATAACAAATTTAACTCATTTTTAAGGATGTGATTTATTAGTTGTTGTGTTTTTCTTTATCCTTACCTGAGGCAGAAATTGTCCTATCCCTCTGATCTCCACCAGACGACTCTGTGTGACACCGACGCCCATTTTTCACTCAGCTGTCAGGAATCGCTGCCTTTAGCCTCTGAGCCACATTTGGTAATAATTACGACCCAAACAGCTGAGCTCCGGTCTTCAAAGAATGTTTTTGTTTGTTCTTCTGTGAGGTGAACCACATCTTAGGGGTAAAATGAACGACTTTAGAGAATTTTTTTTTAATCAAACTTGTTTTATTGAGTGCAATAAAAAAGTGCAATAACTGCTTTTGTGTCAGAAGCTATTTTGAATGATAAATGTGTAGTCTTGGTTTGCGGGGGGAGGGGATTGGGGGGGTATCTATCAAAAGAAGAAAAAGGTAAATGATTGAAACTACAGTCATATGAAAAAGTTTGGGCACCCCTAGTAATCTTAATTATTTTTATTTCTAAATATTTGGTTGTTTGCAACAGCTATTTAAGTTTAATATATCTAATAACCGATGGACACAGTAATATTTCAGTATTGAATTGAGGTTGATTGGACTACCGGTAACAGAAAATGTGTAGTATGCATTAAAACTAAATTTGACAGGTGCAAAAATATGCGCACCTCAGCAAAAAAGAGACATTAATATTTAGTAGATCCTCTTTTTTTCAAACACAACAACCTCTAGTCGCTTCCTGTAGTTTTTATTGAGTTCCTGGATCCTGGATGAAGGGATTTTTGACCATTCTTCTTTGGAAAACAATTCCAGTTCAGTTAAGTTTGATGGTGGCCAAGCATGGACAGCCTGCTTCATATCATCCCACAGATGTTCACTGATATTCAGGTCTGGGGATCAGGATGGCCATTCCAGAACATTGGAATTGTTCCTCTGAATGAATGACTGAGTAGATTTGGAGCTGTGTTTTGGATCATTGTCTTGCTGAAATATCCATCCCTGGCGTAACTTCAGCTTCGTAACTGATTCTTGAACATTATTCTCAAGAATCTGCTGATATTGAGTGGAATCCATGCGACCCTCAACTTTAACAAGAGTTCCAGCATTGGTAGAACTGCCCCATAACATGATAGAACCTCCACCAAATTTTACAGTGGGTAGCAAGTGTTTTTCTTGGAACGCCTTTTTTTTTTTTTATCACCAAACAACTCTATCTTTGTTTCATCAGTCCACAGGACCTTATTCCAAAATGAAGCTGGCTTGTCCAAATGTGCTTTTGCATACCTCAAGCAATTCTGTTTGTGGAGTTCTTGCAGAAAAGGCTTCTGTCGCATCACTCTCCCATACAGCTTCTCCTGGTGCAAAGTGCACTGAATTGTTGAACGATGCACAGTGACATCATCTGCATCAAGATGATGCTGCAGGTCTTTGGAGGTGGTCTGTGGATTGTCCTTGACCATTCTCACCATTCTTCTTCTCTGCCTCTCTATTGTTCTTGGCCTGCCACTTCTAGGCTTAAAATCTGTCCCTGTGGTCTTCCATTTCCTTACTATGTTCCTTACAGTGGAAACTGACAGTTTAAATCTGAGACAACTTTTTGTATCCGTCCCCTGAATTACAATGTTGAACAATCTTTGTTTTCCGATCAGTTGAGAGTTGTTTTGTGGAGCCCATGATAAATCTTCAGAGGAGATTCAAACAAGGAGGACAACTTGCAACTGGCCACCTTAAAGGAATATTACACCCAAAACAGGATTAGCCTTCATTTTCTACTCACCCCCATGCTGAACAACACTCTGGAGTACTTTTTTGATATCTCAAATGCATCTGGAGATCTGGGAGGCTTCTTGCTGTCTGCTGACATTCAAATAATGGAGGTCTATGGTGCCCGAGACAGAAAGGTCCATAAAAGTCCACAAAAACGTGTCAATATTCCTCCATACTGCTCGTCCAATGTATTCCAAGTGTCCTGAGTGGGTAGCATCCAGAATTTACTCGAAACGAAGTCATTTAGAATGTTTTTAGAGCATAAACAGTAGTGTATAGGATTTCCTGAAAGCGCGCACATGCGCGCTCACGACGCTACGGAAGCCGGCAGACCAAACCAGATGAAAGTGCGCATTCAGCGTCTGCTCTGCTGATAATGCAAGCGTAGAAGAAGAAATGTGCTGTTTACCTGTGCAAAGAAAGAAACAACGAAAGAAAAATGTCTGAGGACTTCAGTGTTGAGGAAGAGCATGAGTTCTTTGCCGAGCTGAATGCGCTGGTTTGGTCTGCCGGCTTCCGTAGCGTCGTGAGCGCGCATGTGCGCGCTTTCAGGAAATCCTATACACTACTGTTTATGCTCTAAAAACATTCTAAATGACTTTGTTTCGAGTAAATTCTGGATGCTACCCACTCAGGACACTTGGAATACATTGGACGAGCAGTATGGAGGAATATTGACACGTTTTTTGTGGACTTTTATGGACCTTTCTGTCTCGGTAACCATAGACCTCCATTATTTGAATGTCAGCAGACAGCAAGAAGCCTCCCAGATCTCCAGATGCATTTGAGATATCAAAAAAGTACTCCAGAGTGTTGTTCAGCATGGGGGTGAGTAGAAAATGAAGGCTAATCATGTTTTGGGTGTACTATTCCTTTAAATACATTTTCTCATGAGTGGATACACCTGGCTATGAAGTTCAAATCTTAATGAAGTTACCAAACAAATTTTGTATTTCAGTAAGTCAGTGAAAAGTAGTTAAGGGTATTCAAATCATTGGGGTAGCCAAATTTTTGCCCGTCAAATTTTGTTTTAATGCATGCTGCACATTTTCTGTTAGTCCAATAAACCTAAATTCAGTACTGAAATATTACTGTGTCCATCAGTTATTAGATATATCAAACTGAAATAGCTGTTGCAAACAACCAAATATTTAGAAATAAAAATAATTAAGATTAATAGGGGTGCCCAAACTTTTTCATATGACTGTATATTTTTCCAAAGACATTTTAATTGCAATTTTTTAAAATATGTTTTAGATATTTAGAGATGCATAAAGAGATTAGTATCTTGGACAGCAATAGTTTTATCAATTTTAATCTTTTTCCCCAAAAAGGGTGAACGCAGCTTTTTTTCTTTTTTTAATTTCTTTTCCAAATTATATATTTTAAATAATTTTTCAAACGGCATCTGTTTAACTTTTCCATTCATTTGCAAAGGGCATTTAACTTAATATTCTCTTCCTGGAAGGCCCAGGACTTGCTGGAGGGACAATTGCTCTGTTCGAAAACCTAGGACGCGTCCTTAGAAGGCCAGATTCGAAGGACGATGACGTCATCGCGCGGCGCCGAGGTCTGGTCGGATTCCAAGACTCCTCATTATGCGGCCTTAAAATGCATCCTTCTTTCTGCCCAATTTGAAGGACGGGTCCGATGTATCCTGGCTATCCTTGGTTTACCCAGGATTCATTGCGAGACCAAGCAAGCCGTGATCAGAGGAAAGATTACTTGGCGCCGAACAGTGGTGAAAATTGGAAGTTCAGTTTAATATAATCCAGTCTGTGAATAGTTCCGTCTGAAATGAAAGAAAATAGTTTTTTTTTTTATGGTTATTGAGGCAGATATGTGGCGGTAATGTTTGATTTATCTAAAGGTTTTAATCTGTTACAGTGTAAATGGGTTTGGCTGTAATTTAAAGACAGATTCTAATATATTTGAAGTGTGGGGACTATAAATCTAATAGTTTAATATTCAACAACAACAAAAATACTTAGTTAAGCATATTATGCAGAACAGCAATAAAAAAATAGAGATTTTGCAGATATATTTTTATACATACATTTTTTAGACTTACTTATATATTTCTACCCCTTTTACAGAATAGAAAATCCCTTTATTGTCCCACAATGG